GTTTTACGCCTGAACCAGTATCCCAGAGGGGCCAATATTCGTGAACAGCAAGCCGTATTCCAGCCTGGTCGATCAAATTCTTGCGTGGCGTTGGGTCCTCGAGCTCTGTCCGACCCACCGTCGCCGGCGTTAACGTTGTTCCTTGACATAAAGAAAGTCTTTGACTCAGTTGACTGCGAAACTCATAGATTTGCTTCTTCGAAAAAATATGTCCCAGCAGTTTGTTAGCTTACTGAGGTCACATACTTCTGGTCAAGTGATGGCTTTTAACTGAGCGATTCGTTGGAAACCGTCGTCTGTTTTCGTCGTGGGTGCCCTCTTTCGTAGGTGAAATGCATTTAGACAGATAAAATGGTCTCCAAAGTGCCGATACAGACTGGGTACTTTGAGCACACTGTTAACCTCGAATATGCTGGGGATACGCAAAGCATATTTGACAAACTAATAGGTTTTGCTGTTTCATTCGAAATCCGCTCGGCAATTTCATAATGCACAGTGAAGGAGATGATCGCGCGCATTTCCAAGGTACGATTAGCATATGCAGCACTGAACCATTCACTCCACTGGTTAGGATATGTATGGCGCGTGCCCAGATGTTGTCTGTCACCTTATTTTCTGTAGCCACTTCTGGCGGGAGAAATCCTTGTGGAGACAATCCAAGTAGAGATGCACAAAGCCATTAGTTAGAGTTCGTTTCTCTCACCTCCCACGTTGGGATCCAACGGACTCCGTAATTGTTTGGTTTGAGACATTGTAAATTATGGCAAAGAACTGACAGCGGTGGTATTCTTGTTTTGATTTCTTATCAAGTCAGAATGCTTGAATAGATATGTATTCACAATTAGGTTGTTCACTAATGTTCGTTTTATTTCCCTCTCCATGAAAAGCTCAATATATGTGGAATTTACACATTCCCACTCCGCTATGCATGCGTTACTAGTTTGGCAGCTATCAGTTTGCTTCACTTTAATTTGCTGCACGATGATGATAATGATGACCCGTGGACTGTGGTGTTATTCGTGATCAATGATAATTTCTGATCCCATGTCGAATGTTGACCATACACATGCATAGCTCCACAAACAAAGTTTACCAATTTATAGCCGAATTATTTAATGTTTTTTTTTCATTGTGATAGGGCATTTTATGTACCCGTTTCTAAATTGTAGCGTATGTTTAAGCCACATTTCAGCAATGTTTCATGAAGCTCTAGTCAACTCTCATTTTGGACTTTACTGAGAATCGTTGGCGTATTTTAAATGGATGTGCTGCGCGCTCATAACATTCCCTTCGTGTATACCTAACCCCTTCCACGCCCATAGCCTACGTCCAATTGGAATGGACGACTTCTCAGGTGTTTCTAACACAAACAATCAGGATGATCATATGAACGATTCTCAATACAGTCACCCTCTCGGAGACCTAAGCGGCTCCGCTTACCTACAACAACCCTCATCTGTATCATCCTCGACAACTCACAAGGCTTCAAGCAATTGTGGCGGTGGTGGCGTCGGCCCTTCGGGTAGTCCACAAGATACCCTTTCTTCACCCGAGGAGAATTGCATTAGTGAAGATGATAACATGGATCTTGGTCTGGGTAGGTTATTTCATACCCAAATCGGTGAAAGTTAATAATGGCATATTTCCATCGTCATCCGGTGTAGGCTCCATTCGTCCTTTCGTTAATCATCACTGTGATTCTTTTTGTACAGGTCGTTTATTTTTTTAGCAGCAACCCAACTTTTTGTCAGTTGCTTCTCTTGTAATGCGCTGTATAAACTTATCCATCTCACATTTCGCATAGATGTTAGAGGTCTTTCAAGCTGTCGAAAATTTTCCGTCAATCGTTATCAGAAACTGTTGAGTACTTTTTGCATAGTAGTGTTCTTAACATGGTACTTTGAAACAACTTCAATGCCGTTCAGGACACGCGTAACCGCTAACAGCATATCGGAGGTAGTTAATAGGGGTCCCAAGTTTGATGGTCTTTAAGGGTGCATTGTCTTCTCAATGGTCAAATCTGTTGTCGTTCTGGAATCCGTTTTTGAATTTTAATTCATTTTCAAATAGGTTTATTTCGAACTGTCTGTTATACAGGATTAAACCATATGTTCTTTTAATACTCGTGAAAGATCACATTGTTTTCCCCCCGAAGCTTTTTCTTTCTCATTCACGTTAACGCGGGACCAAACTCCATGTTCAAAGTTGTTGCCGTTGGCAGTTTGCGGTGTATCCACTCCCTCGTCGGTCAGAATAGACACGTGCGCAATCCTTCCATTTTACTT